ACGCTTAATTAAAAATAAACATATTGTGAACTTCCGAATTCCTCTTGGCACGCGTCTGGCGTCCATCTCCCCACGGACGCCGGCTTATCGCCGCTGAACCAAAAGCACCTAGCACCTACAACAGCGACAACTCGGCAACAGTGGGCAATAAACTCTAACCAGCGTCCACCCCGGCTAAAGCCGGCGTCCATCGAGGTCTCAAATTTTAGAATACGGACGAGACTTCTAGAGACGGTTAGTCTATAATATTCTTTGATAATACTCATAAAATATTTTTAAAAATAATAATAAGATGTTGCTTGTTTTTTTGGTGTAGCAGGATAAATCTTGTGATAAGAGGGAAAGATGAAAAATTTGTTCGATATATGAGAACTAACCCTAATAGAAATTTGATAGACCCCATAAAATTAAGTGCTTTCAAAAAACAACAGAAAAAATGCATTACAAAAAAATATTAAATATTATGTACTGGGTGTCACAAAAAATACTCCGCTGCGCTCGACCCGTGGGCCGAAAGTAAGAGTCAAAAAATACAATAAATTTTAAAAATTTCATTTACTTTCGGCCCACGGGTCGAAAGTAAACTTTCGACCCGTGGGCCGAAAGTAAAAGTCAAAAAAGTGACATTTTTGAACTTTTTAAAAGTCAGTAAAGTCAACATTACATGTATGATTGTAAATAAAATTATTTAAAAACTAATTCAAAAAAATCGATTCGCCTTTTTGTCAAGAATGCTCGATTAGTTGGGTTTTCAGTCAACGATGGCGCTCTAATTCATAACCGGTAGGTAACATGGCAGATACTTTTCTAGAGGTGATATGTTCTGTGTATTTCCCTTCACAGGTTTCATCGATTGGAATGCGTGTGGGAAGCAATTTTCGCCATTTAACATAATGAGTGCGACAAAAACAGATATCCCCTCCGCAGCAGCCGCACTAGGCTTCAAGTTCGTCCTTATGTGTTAGCATTCCAGTTTTTGGTTATAGTTCATTGCATTTTTCAAAATTCGGCATTGTCAAATTTATTTCATACTATAGCTAATGACCCGCTGCGTTGCCAGCGTGAAAATATATTTTGAAATAATACATTTTTTTCAAATTTTGTTGTTGATTTCTATTTAATTTTTTTTTATTTTTTTATCCAATACCAGAGTCGCTTGCCAGTGAGTTCAGTGACGCATTTTAAGCACTCCAGAGCTGTTCTAGAGCGCCCCGGGTTGTTTATAGGCGTTCCAGTGAATCAGAGTTTCGCGCAACAGAACTTTTTTTTTCGGGATAAAAAATAGCTTATAGCACTCCCCTCTTTAGCCGAATTCGATTAAGGTTTAAAGTCAGGCCTATAGTTTATTAAAGCAACGCGAGATGTCGATGCTGTCGCCCCTATAGTGTGCCCTAACTTGACTATCAAAAAAAAATAGAAATCTTCATTTGGTTAAATTGTATGATGGAACGTTTTTTCTTTTTTTGGCGGAAATTCGAAGTATTAATCTGTTTTACATAAACAGGGCTGTGGTTTCGACGAACGCAAATAATTTTTCCTACAGCCGTGCGGAAAAATCGATTTTCCGCACTGATATGCGTGCGGAAAATGAGTTTTCCCGCACGGTGCGGTAAAACTTTTTTTTTTGACATATCAGTGCGGAAAAAGTTTTTCCGCACGGCTGTCGGTGCGGAAAAAATTTTACCGCACCGATATGTCAAAAAAAAAGAAATATTTTACATTTTTTCGCCTGTAGGAAAAATATTGTACCTAACACTTGCGGAAAATATTTTTTTCTACAAACGTCACTAAAAGTGTCATTTTTAACGGATGCTGTCAGTGTCTAAAATGCCATTTTATGAAACTGGTGTTAAAAGTGATTACTTTTAGCACTAGTGCTAAAAGTAATCACTTTTAGCACTGATCAGAAAATATAAAAACATAGGAAATTTTAAATCAAAATAAAATATTTATTTAATTAAACGTACAATTAGCGAAACTGCAATTAGAATAAGAAACTCCATGGCCAATCTCGTTGGTAGCAGTTACTGAATTTATTGGTAAAACTTGTACCAGGAGGGCAAAGAGCAATGTTATTCTCCGAAGTTTTGGGCAGAATTTGATCCGCAATGTTCTTTTTATTTTGTAGCGAGTCTTCTATATACCCCTCCGCTACTGTACTAGACTTCCATCCACCGTGTCTCTTGATTATAGTAAGATTAGCACCAGAGTCCGCCAACAAACTCGCTGAGGAACGCCGGAAACAATGTCCAGTATAAAGATGGGGATCAGGCAAATTCAGAAATTTAGCGATTTCGGCAGGGATCTTACCAAATGTGTTGATTCCAACTGGAGTCTTGGCACATTTATTATTGCTGTATTTTATAAAAAATCTTGAGTGATTGATATCCGCTGGTCGAAGGGATAGGTACTTCTTATAGTAGTTTATATACAATGTACCACTAATAACGTAATTTCGTTGCACATTAGTTTTAGTGTCTGGTATATGCACAACTAATGAAGTTCCCAAATCTTCAATGTTATTTAATGTCAAATTGCAAAGTTCTTCTCGACGCCAAGCTCCAAATACACCGAAAATTGCGGCAACTTTTCGCATAAGATGTATTTCATCCGGGGCTTCTGCGAGAAATTTATCGATTTGTTCACTCCGCAATACTTTTGACTTTTTCGGTCGATATCCTTCACCCTTTCGCTTTAAAAAAGCTACAAGCTTGTAAAATCTGCTTATGTCCTGATTATTTATGTTCATCATCGCCTTTATCATTGAGTAATTTGACCAAAGCGTAGAAGATTTCCATATTTTTGATTTTTCTTCAAAGTATGCAAGGAGCACTTTTTCACTGGCCTCCTTGCCACTTACTTTTTTTTCATCACACCATTTCAAGAAACGATCGTATGAAAACTCGTACTGTTGCTTTGACTTGCTAGGCAATAATTCAAAAGTAGCTTTATTGGCAGCTTCTTCAATTTCCGCCGGGAGAAATTCATTGTCTTGATCACTTTCCATCGCCCAGAAAATAAACCACAATGAAACTGGATGAAACCACGCAAAAACCAAAAATTGTGCAAAAACCTTAAGCAAAAATTCGTGATTATTTGACGTTACTAATCAACAATGACAAACAGAGATGACAAATAAAAATAAACAAATTCGTTTTTTTTTCTTGCCAGCAACCTATTTCATAAATAAATTAGATGAAAGATTTGAAATTGAGGATTGCAAGGATGCGTTAATTGGACTTTTAAAGAGTGTTTGTAGAAAAAATAGTGTATGATATTCGTGCTAAAAGTGATTTTATTTTGTTCAAAGGGATGGAACACTCCGCCTTCGGCGTCGTGTCCCAAACTTCCCTTTTCACAAAATAAAATGTCACTTTTAGCACTTATATCATAATAGCTATTTATACAATAAGTTACGAAATGAGCGTCTTTTAGGCACGCGATGTGAAAATTGTCCAACGAGGCAAAGCCGAGTTGGACAACACGTCGAAATCAATTTTCATTTAAGCGAAATTAAATTTCACTGATGTGAATTTAGTTTTCATTAATTTGAAATCAAATTTCACTAGTGTGAAATAATTCTGGAAATGGTATAGTAGTTTTCCCTCCTAGTTTAATGTATTGTGCTTTCAATTTTTTTTTTTTTTTTTCAGTGATCAGCTTTACTTTATTTGCAACATTGGTTGTGCTAGCGAGGTTTACTTAATTAAAATTTGAATAAGTCGTTGAGTTTGTTTTTCCTGCCAAATTGCCCAAATTGAGACTTAATTTACCACGACGATGTTTGTTCATGTGACTTGTTAAATTAGTATTACGTAGCCACAAGTACAGCATCTTCCCAAAATATATTATCCATTTTTGCTTGCATTATCATAGATCTTGCTTTGTCTATTGGTGTCTGATTCATTCTTTTCGCAGCACCATCAAGTTGGGTAGTATATGGAATGGAGGAGTAAAACTTACAGTCCAACTTTTATAATCTGATACTCTAATGGAATGTGAGTTGACTTCCCATGTCAACGGTCATCTGTCCTCACATCTATTTTTGCTGGATTTTTCCTCGCCTCGCTCCTTATATGAAAAGTGTCAAAAAAAGCTAAACATTACCTGAATGCTTTTCTTAGAACGGAACAAAAATAACATCAGGTCCTTCTTTCTGAATATAAGTTTATCCAGAAACCCACAAAACATTGAAAAATCGAGTTTAAATGCGGTAACTATTCGTAACAAAAATGAGTGCGCAAAGAGTTTCCGTGCGCAAAGTTGAACTTTGCGCACGCAAATGAGTGCGCAAAGTAATAACTTTGCGCACACAAGTAGAAAAACATATTTATGCTGTTAAGCTTATTGTTATGGTTACGTTGGATTTATTTTATTTCAAATAAATTTAATAATTCTACCCAAAGTACCCAATTTTTTAAAAATTAATTTGGAAAAATATTTTGGAATTGAATCTACTCAGATATTTTACACATTCTGGCAACTCGGCTTTCTGTTTTAAAACTCTGAAAAAAAATACTTTGTCATCAAATGTCATTATTATACGAGGGTCAACCTGCCAAATTTCCGTGGATAATGCTACGCCAATAATATCTGAAAAGCATATAGTGACTTGGCCAGTGTTTTGACCTCAAACTGATTTTGCAACCTGTATAATATAATAATTTGTGACAACGTGAACTACGATGTAATAGAAAAGGCAAAAGTCAAATGACATACCTTATAGAGACCGGCATCCAAAACAACTCCAGTGAGATTGTATAAGACCTCTACACATCAGGCCAAGACTCGAGTCCCTATTATGATCAGGACATAAAAGCTTTAGAATAACGAGTCCAAAGAAGAGTAACCAAAATCTGGAAGAATCTGTATAGTGAAAAAATTTGTGTACAGTTGAACATTGAACAAAGAAGTGAAACCTTGACTCTGAGTATGTAATGTACCGTATATGAGACTCTGTTACACACCCATATTTTAATAATATTTCCTAAAAAAATTACCTGTTTAGGATGAACCATATATCCAACATTTCGGAAAGGATTGCCGTCGGGAGGTAAAATCGAAATTCCAAGATGTTTTTCAGTCATGAAAACCATATAGCGGGAATTATTGTGTGAAGGTACAATTTTCATTTTCCTAATTTGCGCGTCCTTGAAACAATCGCTCGAAGGAGCTACCGTTAAGGATCTTGGTGTTTTCGTTTTGGCATGCATCACTTTAATTTTATGCTTGTTATCGGCAAATAAAATGTATCGGACGGTATTGCTTCCGAATTTCCTGGTATAGGCAGTAAAATTCATTGGCAGTGCAGATTGTTCGATTCGATCTCTTGAGGTTATAATGAAAGGTTTTTTATCATTATTATTTAGTGCCCAATTGTTGTATTGCAGCATATATCGGTCAGCTCCTATAGTGTAAAGTCTCGATTTGCGATTACTATTTGTGCTGAAAAACATCATGTCATTTATAGGGAAGCTGTGTGAGCGAATTTTGCCTCTAAATTCCCAACACTTTTTCTCTGAATTGTAATTGAATAGTACAACAGTTCTATTATTATCATAATAAGCAAACTGCATTGAGTTATAAGCAAAATCTATTTTCATTATTTGATTGCGACCCTTTTGAAACGGTTCAGTTATTTTAGGTTGTAAAATTGACGGGTCTAATATCCAAATTTCACCATTTAGTCTTCCACAGACAAGGTGCAAACCCTGTCTGGAATACTTTATACTACTGACCATTCCACCCTTTTTGATTTGCTTAGTTTTAGGAAGCACGAAAGTAGAAACAATTTGCTTTGTTTCATAGTTAATTAACGTTATTCTGCCATTTTCAAAACCAAGCACAATGTACGGTCTTCCATCGTGCGCATCAATAGAAGTAATAGGAGCGTCAGCTGTGTGAAAAAGAGGAGTAGCCATAGAACGTATGAAATCATAAGCGAAAATATTACTGTCGGCGGTAGATATAAAAAAGTCACTCAAAAGAAACGGATTGTTATCCATAGTTACATCTTTTGGTGTATCTATAAGATCGGTAATTTCCGCTTCCATATCGTTATATTGACATTCCAAAATTTGACCTGCGTGTTCTGGGAAGTATTTTATCTCAACTTTAGAATCCACGAACGAATATGTCTTTGGCGTTAAAGCAAAACTTATTGCGGTTATCTTGCCCATTTTGGGATTTTTAATCCAAAATAAAAGCTTGATTCTTCTGTCAAAAAACAGAATCGTGCCTCTTGAATCTCCTGTCACCAAAATTCTATTCGGCGTAGCGGTGATGGTACTGATAAGAGACTTGGTAACTTTAACAGCATTGATATACATTTTTTTGTTTCTCAAAGGGCCTTCTTCATATTCCTGAGTGTAAAGGGTATTTCTGAACAGCAAAATGCACCCAGTTGAGGTGGATACATAGCTAGAATGTGAGTATTTCATGTAAGTGCCACAAGTCATTAAACCTAGTTTATAATTAGTTTGATAAATTTGTGGTATAATCGTGGGTCTTAGCATGTTTTCTTCTGAATGCCAAGTAAGAAAAAATACTTGTGTTTCAAAAACTACCATTATATGTTCATCCTTATCAGGATGGAAGCATATTTTAACTGGTTTACCATGCGTCTTATTGACTAAATAAGTGTCCTTCGGTTTATCTTCTGCAAGTGTCCACAGCCAAACATCTATAGAGTAATAATCCAAATTGTCACCCATTGTCACTAAGTATCTGGCACAACCACTTATGGCAGCCATAATAATCGCACTGTCAGGGTATGGCTTGTATATGCTGAATAGCGGATTGAAAGTTTTACAGCACCATACTATGAGACAACCATCTTTATCTTCGTCAGTACTAACTAGATATTCTCCGTTGGCATCAATTGATATCGAGTTGACAGTCGAAGGGTGAGCTTGTAAATGTTTATTTTTTTTAGTGCAATAATCGTAAATCACCACTGAATTTATGCTGGAGAAAATCAGTTCTTTTCTTGAGTCTTGCGTCAAATTGATGACGCCCACGTTAGCGTTGATGCCGTAGGCGTAACTTATTTGGAATGGTTTCAGTTTTCTGGATAGACGGGCGCCGCTGATTTCTTCCAACAACTTCATGTCAGATTCGGTTGGTTTGTTTGTAACGTCGGAGCCGATTGTCGTTTCCGACTCTTCTTTGTTTGGCACCTCGGTTTTTAACCCAAAATCATCTACATTTATTAGTTTTGTGATGTAGACCAAATCGGCTCTATCTTCTACAAAGGTAATGCTAGTTTCGGACATTGTGAGGAAAATTATGTAAACTGACAAATATAAGTTACTATTATGGCAAGCACTTCAAATACTGACAACCTTGACAGTTTGATGTTTTATTGACATTGCAAACATTCAGGGCCGTTTGCACCAACCTTTTGGAAGCCCTAGTGCGCGTGCACATTAGTGAGCGGTGAGCGGCGAGCGATGCGCGGTGAGCGATGAGCGTCGACGTAAAATATTTCAAACAGTGAAGTGTAGATTAGAGTGTGCACATTGCAATGAGCGGTGAGCGTTGGCGTTGCGCGGTATCGCATCGCGCCGCCTTGTTTTGGTTTTTGATCGAATTGCAAGCGGCACCGCGACACGGATAGAGTAGATTGGAATGTAAATTGATGCACGCAGGCACGCTTTTAATATGTCTTTCCAACAAGATGCTATCGACAGGGAGTTATCAATTGCTGAGGCCCAAAATTCCAATCAAAAACTGTTTTATGGAATGATAAAAACAAAAATTACAAAAAAACGGAAGTTATCAAAAAAGAGTGGCTGGAGGTTAATTGTCGCTACTGTTTGGAGAGAGACTGTAGGTATTTGTTTTTACTTATTTTAAAGTTACGTAGAGTCTTTCAGCTGGTAAATTGGTTTCTTGAAATTGGTACAGTTCTTTCGATTTCGACGCCTGTTCTCTACTTTGGCTAAAATGTAGTCGAAAGTTTTGATGGACATACGAAGGAATTCAGAAAACCTGGACGAATTGAATCGAAATCCATGTACAAATGATGGAATTCTCCAATTATTAGACAACTTTGATTCAATTGATGCATTTCTTTCATTTACTTTTAATTAAAAGTAATCGAGCTAAACGTGGATTTTCAACTAATAATAGTTTAAGCATCAAAGTAGACTCCTTGCTAGCTAGGACAACTCTGAAAACGCTCATAAAATAAACTTTTCAATGTGCACACAACACCGCGGGCGTTAGCACACCTATACGCTCGCCGTTCAACGCGCACCGCTCATCGCTCGCCAATGTGCACGCAACCTTAGGCCTTAACGATAAATAGTAGGTAAGTTCGGTTAATCCTCCACGAGCAAAAAGATGACTGGCCCCACGTGATCAGTTTTATTACCAAATGGAAGATCACGTTAGCTTCTGTCAACAGTGTCATATTTTAACTCGCGGAGGATTAACCGAACTCGCCTAGTATTAATTAAAGTGACATTTCTCCATGTGGAAACGTCATTTAGGCTTTTTTAAAATGGTCGGTGCAAACGGCCATTAATCAGAAAAGTAAAGGAATGAGTTCAGAATCGCTCAATCTGATTTGGTAATACAGATCTGCATCAGAAAATAGAAGATCTCTCTGGTAGCTCTACAATTTACTGGACGTGGCCGAAGTTTCGATAAGTCGCAATACATAGTCGCATTTTTCTGTAATGTTTTTCTGCCTAGGCAGTAAAAATACTCCTTTTAAGCCTGTCAAGTGTCATTCAAAAGCCGCTTTTAATGTCATTCCCTCGGTCATTCCAAGAAAATAGTATACGTCATATAAAGTATAAGTGTAAGTATAAAGTCGTTAAAACACGCGCGATTTAGCTGATACTTGATAGTAGTCTAAGAGCCAGTGAACTTTTAGCGTAAAAAGTTGCCGATGGACAATCTCTTGCTTAAACGATGTAGTTTTATCCTCCGTGATCAAAAACCATAGTCTGGCAGCATGTAGTGGGGAAGTTTGTCGTAGGCATAATTAATTAGTCATTAAAAAATTCACCAAATTCGAAATACTTGCCGATGGTCAATTTTTGCGGCATATCATTTAAAAATGTGCCATTAACAAGGCTGAAATAATGCCAGACGGTTTTCACGGGTTTAAAGCCTTGCCAGACGCTCCCAAAATGCAAAAAAAAAAATAATAATAAAAAATTCGAAAAACTTGCCAAACCCTGTTTTTTTTACATTAAAGAGAAAAAAATTGGTAATCAAACAAACCCAGTGCGAGACGGTTTTTTCGAGGATTAATCCTTGCCAGACAACGCAGAAGTTCGTTATTTTACGCGTCCTGGCACTCAAATATCATTATCCCCTCCCCGCGTGCATGGAGGTAAGTAACACCCTGTTTAGCATTCGGCAATCCGTTCGACAACGGTTCGGTTTTTTAAATGTAACACCCGTGGTTGCATGGATGTGCGCTTTATCGGGTGTTACTTACCCTCGGTATTAGATAAGCCTATTTACTATTACCATCTTGTAAATAATTATTTTAGGGCATTGAAATTTTAAAACATGAGTATATAAGTGCAAAATATAATCAATATTGTTATATTATTCTAAATTATACTGTGCGTTCGTAATTTAGGTAGCAGATAAAAACAATAAAAGAGATTTCTCGAAAAACCTCGGACACTAATTTTAATTTAGGAGAACGTCTTTTTCACTATTTGTATAGTTGTAGAACATCGAAAAATCCAAAAAGAAGGCCACGTTTCACCTTTCAACCTTTAATAATATATAGGGTGGGCTCAAAAAACCGGAATTTTGTTTTTTGAGCTGTAATTTTTATGTTGTTGACCAATTTTCTATTGTGTGTAGATATAGACTACAAAAGATTCAGAACAATTGTGTACGATAGGTATATATTTAACCACAGATTGAACATAAATAGACGAGAACATGTTACTCCTTACATTACTAACAGTGAAATGCTCAAGATGAAAGAAAGAAGATTTTTACATTTTGCTGTTTTGATACAAAATATTATTTAGAACTCAGAATATCTCTCCGGTGAGGCTTGGTGACATTCATACCAGGTCAACAAGGAACAGATACTTTCGAAAACCCATTACATCGTAGGTACTGAATTTTTCCAATCTTCTTTATCTTACTTGGGCCTACATGTGTAGGTACATGATACCAAAAGGAAATACAAAAAGTAGGGCCTATAAGCAAGAATTAACGAGCAAATTAATAAAATACAGAAAGTTTGCAACATAAAAAACTAATAATATTATATTATGTATCTAATAAAGGCATTACTGTTAAACATTATGTGAATGCAAATCTGTCCAGGGTAAGTAACACCCGATAAAGAAACTCTCCGTTGCGATATCGGGTGTTACATTCAAATTTGCGAACGTGAGCCAAATGGGTGTTACTTACCTCCATGCTGCCCGCGTCTGGGAGCGGATAATATGCCGCGGCCACATGTCGGTGATCCCGTACGAAAGCAAATGAGATGGAAAGACAAGGAATGAGTGGAACAAAAGGGTTTGTATAATAATACATCAATGAATGAACTATACCTACCGGGTGTCTCACCGATAACTGTCAATGGCCTATATTTTGAAAACGGTAATCGATAAAAAAAAATAAAAAAAACTCAACCAAAACAAGGTACTCTTCAGCTCTCCGCGAACTTTTCCTCCGGCTGTAGCCACTCTAACCTCAAAATCCCGAATGGTACTATTCATGTGATGATTCAATTTTCTAAATGGACCTGTAAAAAAAAGTATCCAGGTTTAAATGTGAGTCTAATTTTGATGAAAACCTCATTTGATTTAGTGGAACACATAAATGTGATTTAAGATCGATCGACAGTGTTCACCTCCTCAAGGGGGCAAAGTTGTTAACTCAAAGTATGGGCAATTTTCTGACAATTTAAAATTGTATCTAGATAATTTTTTTTATGCAGATTCGTTTAATGAATCAAAAAACCCCTCAAACAAGGTATCACATGACCTATAGTGCCATTTAAGATTTTGAGGTTACGGTTGCTACCTCCGGAGTGGTGGTTCGGGGAGACCTGAAAAGTACCTTGCTTTGTTTCCCCCTTCAAACGAGTATTTTCTTTATCGGTTAACTTTTTCAAGATATAGGCCATTAACAGCTTTCGGTGGAACGCCCGGTATACTACACGTAACAGGAATGGATCCCACCGTTGTCGGATATGGCATTTGTCTCTCTCTCTTAGTGTGTCCAAAGATAGCTATATACTGATGGCTACTTTTCTCTTTCTAGTTCGTTGCTGTGAGGTTTGGTATATTCCTAACCGCAAATAAAAATTTTTTTGGACCATCTCAATTTTATAAATCGGCGCGACCATTCCAGGTACCTACGTGTACTTTATAATTCATTGTAATATAATTATATTTCTTTTTTTTCTGTTAATTTATTAGGGAAATAAAATAATTAAATAGTGAACAATGAATTGACATAAAATAAAATATAAATTATCGATTTTTAATTGTATTGAAATGTCAAAAAAAGAATAAGCTAGGTTTTATGTATGATTTTGTGTAATAATGATTTTTCTATTTTAAATACGACCCACCCATCCATACTATGAGAGCTTATTACGATAATAACCCATTTTAGCCTATTTGAGTTACGTTATAAGTTGTATTATCGTACTAGTGATGTAATGAGCTCCTTATATCACTAGTCATTCAATAGGCTCATTACGTAACTCATTTTTTATTTATGAATATTAAAAGTAGAACTAATACCTGATGCTGCTGATAGTGTTGCTTGAAGTCTTTGGTGAGAAAATATTTTCTTTCAGCCTTGAGCTTTAAGCTCACCAAATAATCTGTTGTGAAAAATCAAAACCATCGAATACATAAAACAAAAATCTTAGTTGTAGATGAAATGTATATCACACGTACGGTAACGCTCATTATAGTACTCATGTGGTTACCACGACTCCGTCTACAGCCTCGTCGTAACAATATTTCTCTTCGATTCACAATTTTTTTCTCATAATTTTTTTTAAAAAAAGGTTTCGGCAAGTATTTCAAAAATTTCATATTTTTTTGCAATCTGGGGGCGTCTGGCAAGGCGTTAAACCCATGAAAATCGTCTGGCATTATTACAGCCTTGTTAAGGGAACATTTTTGAATGATATGCCGCAAAAATTGACCATCGGCAAATAGTTCGATTTTCATGAATTTTTAATGACTTATTAATTATGCCTACGCCAAACTTCCCCACTACATGCTGCCAGACTATGGTTTTCGATCTCGGGGGATAATATTACATCGTTTAAGCATGAAATTTTCCATCGGCAACTTTTTACGGAAAAAAATTCACTGGCTCTTAGACTATAGAGATGTATTGCAAATTTTGGAAGGAAAAGGGGTTCGAAATTCTCCGATTTTCAAAATTTCCGGAAATAATAATTAGAAAAAAACGTACCTCAACTCAAAAATAATAGAAAGTTGTTCATTAAAGGATTGTTTGTGGCTATTCGTCGCATTACATTGACCTCTTCTTACTTCACCTAACAACTTAAAAGTTTTGAGTTTTGTAATGATGCCATTGGATATTTCTTTGCCGCAATCTCTCATGTTGATCAGTTCTTCTTTGGAGTATCTACAAATTTGAGTTAGCTGTTCAAAAAAGGTCAATAAAGTTCATTGCGTTCATTTGGAAATAATGTAAACTCAGATCTGTATT